CTCCTTCTTCGCACGATAATGGCGATAAGATAGAAATTGTGCTACTTAAATACACAGTTGGCTTTGTGTGATATCGTTTGGAGTTCCAACACTCGGTAGTATTCAGCTGTCCAATGGTAGAACGAGAGTGAACCTGGGTGTCACACCCAGTGAACACGTGCTGCCACTACGAAGATGAGCATATGGTGCGCATTCTGACAACCTCACATCGTCTTATTCTTTCTCCTCCTATTGCTGATTTTTGCGTCATTTTTGACTTTTACGCAATTTGGATTCCTTTGGCTGTTTGAGCAAAGAATGAATGTGCGGGTTGAAAGTCGCACATCGTGAAACAAGCATAAGGCCAACGAATTGACAAATGACAGCGAATACAAATCGGGTGTGGATTTACTTAGATTGCAGAAGGTTAGATGAGATTTGTTTGCACTGTATAACACAAATGCTGTTCTGTCAGATACCAAATCTTGAAGTTGCGCGAAGGACCAATGCAATGGCTTTAATTAACTGATTCCACAATCATCGTCAGATCAATTTGGTGGTGCAAGGAATCGTTTAGGTTAAACCTGGATTTACACACCTGCATGTTTAAGAAGAGGCGATATTGTGGCGGTATTATACATTACCGTGCATTAAGTGGCAGACGGGTACTATTGCAATGCACTCATATATGATCTACTTATCATGGCACCGTGAAGATACCCTCAACTAGGACAGGTGACAGTAAGCCTCTGGTTTTGTTTGCAACAGGTGCATATTATGGTGTGCACAGACTCCGACAGACTCCCAACCAGAGTGATGAGTGGACGAATTGCAGCACTGATGTGCTTATTTGCCGAAGAGTTCGCGTAAGCAAGACGGTGAGCATTGTGGGTACCACCCAGACAACTACCCGGGTCGTGGAGATTGGCTGAGGCACTTGGTGGTTCCATTATCGCATGCTTGTAGCATTTAATTCGCCTTCGTCTTGCAATGAGTAGCAGCGCACCTAAAGCACATCTACATTCAATCAGGAGGGATTGAACAAGCGCGCAACCTTCTTAAGCATTTGGATACTAGCTATAAAAATTACGATTTTTAAATAATAGAAATGGGGACATTTTTAGCTATTGCAGGTATCCCTAACATTTCTTAAACCCGACAGTGGTGATATATGCGTGTTATGATTTGGTTTTTGTTTGCATGAGTGTGTACTGGGCACCCAGACTGACTAGTCTCCGAGTTTCGATGGCAAAGTGACGTAGAATGTACAGGGCCACTTCAGCCTTACTGCAAAGTGCTGAGATGCCAGAATTCTGGAGCATTTATTTTATGCATATTCAATTCAAGCGTCTGGGCTTGATTTGAATGACCTTCTTACATACTTAATCTGCAAAGTTCGAAAAGTGAGTACTACTTACTATTACCTGAATTAGAATGTAAATAAAATATACTGATAGACAATCACCTGATCTGTGAGTTTGTTAGCACTTATAACAACGAGTTAAGACCTCATTGAGATGGGAAAAATTGTGTCACTACTTCATTAGTCGTAGCTTACTTCTACGTCTGGCGAAATAATGAGAGTTAAATAGTTACAGGAAATGTGCCACCACAATGGATGACTTGTGGTATATTTACAAAGTGCAAAACGACTATGTTCACGTTGAGTAAGTAATACAAACATTCTTCAAGTCATTTTAGCCCTTAATGACGCAAGTCAGTCTTGCAAAGGGTGCATGAAGAAGAGGAACGGACAGGGAGAGTTGTGCCTTTGATGTTAGTCCATATCGCCCATGGCATCATAGTTCCCTAGATTTCACTTTCCAAGCCAACTGCTCCCTTGAGACCACCCTCAACAGCGTGATAAGTAAATGCCGTGCAGAAAAGATGGGACAATGCAACATTCCCTGCACGTAGTCGATCGCTGAAACACAAGCAGAGCATAACAGATAGTGAGACTCACACTTAATAGAAGCAGGGAATTCATAAAGTGCCGCAAATAAATGAACAATGTGGACCTCGCACAGTTCACTAACAACAACTAGGACTAGCAATGCACCGTTCTTATCAGAGAGGCTTGACAATTCTCCCAGTGATGAAGTGATGTTTCTTGGTTTGGTGATAGAGCTGTTTCGGTTTTAAGATGGATATTTAAAAATCACCTTGAATGCTTAAAAATAACGTTCCAAATATTTCAATGGGGAACAACTCCATGTCTAAATTGGCGAAAAATGAATTCTAGGCATATATCAGACAAGGAGAATGTCGATAAAATTTCAACTACTTAGCACTCATTCTCAGAAAACCAGACGAAGCCATTGTACGCACAATTCATTCTTCTTTTGTGATTCCTAAACAAGATTGCATTTAAGTAGCAGAGGTTAACAGCATAACTAAAGTCTAGTAATCTGGCAGTTTACGAGACCGTCAATAAACATCGGCACGTTTTCTGTTGATTTTTTAGTAAATTGACGAAAATTGCGAATATCAATTTAAGCAAACAATCAATAGCCTCGTTCCTACTTCACGCTTTCCTCTGCAGCGAAATCACACTGCCCTTTGACACCAGTTTTGAAGCTGTAATGTGATTCGCAGTTGAGAATAATGAAATCAAATGAGTAAGTGCCTACTTAA